TTGTTTGTGTTTGATTTTTTGGCTGCGCCCCATAATTGGATCCCGTATGTCCAAATGGGCATTAAAAAAAGTTTTATATAGGAGTAATTTTGTTTTTATATTAAGTTTAGAATGTTTACCGAGTAAGAATTGTAGCGATTTTCGTCTAGAGTTTAAGAGGATTTTTTTCTTTTTTATGTGGTCTGCCCAAGTTAATCGTTGATCTAGAAATAAGCCCAAATAACGAGAGCTCGAGGATTTTGGAATATTTTGGTTGTTTAAATGTATAGGTGGTACAGTACCATGTTTTAATGTAAAAGTTAGATGGGTAGATTTTTCGTGATTTATTTTTATTTTCCACTTGTCGTACCAAGAAGACATGAGGTCTAGGTGGTTTTGTAGATTCATGCCAGCAATTATTGGATCTTTGTATGTGGAATAAATAATTTTGTCATCGGCAAAATCTGCAACTGAGGTGTAAGGGGTTGTCGGTTGATCAGCTGAGTACAGGTTGTAAAGGGTAGGAGATGAAACGGCTCCTTGTGGGACCCCTGCAGATATTCGGGCTAAGGACGACATTTCTGATACAATTTTGGTCACAAAATAACGGTCTTCAAGATAAAATTTGTAAAATAGGTAGTAAGGTAGAGGTAAATTTTTTTTAAATTTATACAATAGATCAGGATGCCACACTTTGTCGAATGCCTGGGCTATATCAAGGAGGACTGCTGTGCAATATTCTTTTTTTTCTAAGGAACTAGATATGCAGTCAGTCAGTCTGTGTATTTGGTGAATGGTTGAGTGTCGTTCACGAAAACCAAATTGAGTTTGTGGTATAACTGATACGTTATTTATAAAAGGAGAAATCCGTTTTAATATTAACTTTTCACAAAGTTTACCGAAGAGAGGTAGGAGACTTATCGGTCGATATGAACACGGAGTATCAGGAGGTTTACCTGGTTTTAGAATTAGGATGATAACAGCGGTTTTCCATTGAAGAGGAAAATGGGATAGTCTTATGATTGCGTTTAATATATGCGTGAGGTGTATAATTGCTTTTTTGGGTAGCTGCAGAGCTACTTCTGACGTAATTAAGTCCAAACCGGGAGATTTTTTGTGGCGGAATAGTTTTAAGTAGTAATGAATTTCACCCGGCGAAATAGGTTTCGGTGCTAGATAAAGTGGAAATGGGATAGTAAGAGAGTTCACAATATGATCTTCAAATACATTATTGATAATGTTATGGGGTTGGAAGACTTGAAGCAAATGAGATCGAAAATGTTCACACTTTTCTGCATCAGTTTTGCACCAAGTATTATCTAATCTTTTTATGGGGGAATTTGTGGTTTTTTGTTTCAAACAACTACGAGTTGTTCTCCACAGAGAACAATTTTGCGATGTAAGCGAAGAGACCCAAGAACTGAAATTATCATTTCTTAGTTGTTTTAAAATACGTTTGAGCGAAGAAGCAAGGTTGTTGAATGATTGTTTATCAGACGGGAGGCGGGTGCATTGCCCAAGGGATCTGGCTCGTCGTTTTTTTGCTATGAGTTCACGGACATAAGTAGGAATTGGGAAAGAGTTTTGGGCTTTCCACGGTTTTTTAACAGTGGAACTCCAAGCAGCTGTTTGGATTATATCCGTAAACTGTTGAACAGCGTTTTCAAGTTCGTTTGGACACTTAAGTTGGGTTTTTAGGTTGATTTTCTGTTCAATTATTTCACGGAATTTATTCCAGTCTGTAATACCATCCGTAAGGCTAGCTTGTCGGGACCGTAGGGGAGGTTGAGCATCTAGAGATAGAAGGAATGAAATATGGTCTGAGCGTAGTTCTAAATAGTTATTTATGACATTTTGTAATCTCGTAGGGATATTTACTACAAATATGTCTAAGATATCTGGGCGTTTATTTATAGACGTTGGCCAGTAAGTTGGATCGGGGGGAGCTAATATGGTATAATTTTTTCGATTAACTATTTGGAGTAAAGTACGTCCTTTTGGGTTAGACGTGTGGCAGCCCCAGGATTGGTTTTTGGCATTTAGGTCACCACCGACTGTAAAATAGTGACCTAAATAGTTAAAAAAGTTTTCGTACTGTTGTGGCGTAATTTTGTGTTTGGGTGGACAGTATGTTGCAGCAATAGTAATTGGAATGTGATTTAATTTAATTGACAAAATGGCAGCTTGCAGGTAGTTTTCTTGTATATTAGGAAAGGTGGTATATAGTAATGAGGATTTTATAATAATTGCGGCACCAGCGTGGGAGGTGTTATCTGGATGGTTTGAGGTGATTATATTATAACCAGGTATTGAAAATTTAGTATTTGTAGTAAAATGTGTTTCAGAGATTAAGGCTAAGTCTATTCTTTTTTCATTTAGTGTTAATATAAGTTCATTTCTATGATTTGTTAATCAATTGGCATTCCACATAAGGATGGCTAAAGAGTGAGAAGTAAATGAGTTATTTGACATTTTGACTTAATAGACTGTTAAGAACTGTGGTGAGTAAAGATAGTAGTGGGTTTATGAGTGATTTAAACTCATTGAGAAAATTAAAGAGAACATTTTCATTTATAGAATTATTTGGTATTTGGGATGAGTTATTAGGGGAGGTAGCCTGTGCGTATGTATAGTTTGGTCTTTGGGGTATGAACGTGTTGGTAGTGGGCTGTTGGGTGGCTTCACAATCGATATTTTTAACATTATCATTATTAACATTTTTTACAGTATTTTTATTTGTATAATTACTATTTTTATTTGAAGTAGGCTTACGAAGTTGTTGGAGATTTTTGTATACTTGACAGCCCTTGTAATTTGCTGGATGATTACCCATACAGAGAGCACATTTGGCCGGCAAGTCCTTGGTTTTAACACAGTGGGTAGATGGATGTTTTTCGCCGCAACGGACACACCTTGGTGTGTAGGAACAATATTTTCTTGAGTGGCCATAGTCTTGGCAATTCATGCATTGGATTATGTCTGTTCGTTTGTATGGTTCTTCTATTTTTACTTTAGTATGGAGAAGTGAAGTTACACTGAATATATCAGTATTAATTGTCGCTGGTTCAAGGTCGACAAAAAATATAGGAAGATTGATTTTCGTTGTTTTATGAAGAACATTTGTTACTTGGCGTACCGAAAATCCAATTTCTTCAATAGCGATTCCGATCTCCACTGTTGATGTAGTTGGGTGAAGGTTTCGAATAACTATTCGATATGCTTTGTTATCTTGTGATTGGTAAGTATGGTATTGTGCATTTTTTTCTTTTAAGTAACGAATTGTTTCGCGATAAAATTCAGGTTTGGTAGTTTGGATTTTTAAATTGTTGGTAGATGATTTAAATGTGAAATTTTCCGGGCTGATTAAATTGATTAACTTGTTTCGAAAACCAGCAAAATCTAGTATACCTTTGACAATAATTGGAGGGGAAGTTTTTGTTTGATATTTTGTGTTTCATCGGAGGCTTCAATGTTTATGTCATTTGTATGTGCGTCATTTTCATTTTCTGTAAAATTGTGTTCATTTTGACTATTACGTATTGTAAGTGGGGCAAATCTGTTGACTGTAATGAACATTTTCTTGGTGTCCGGAGAATCGGAAGACGAATGATTACGTTTAGAGGTGTTTTTTGATTTTGGAGTTACAAATCCGTCTTCATTAATTTCTTCGGAAGAATTGAAAACGTCATTTGACACGTTCTGTATACGATTCACGTGCGAGTTGCTTGGAAGATTATTTAAATCGGAATAAGTTGTTTGATTGTTTTTATTTTTTTTGGGGTGGATGGACTTTTGTAGTTCATTATAATATTACTGTTAACGTTATCTGAAGAAGATAAGGCTCGTTGACTGGTCGTCGATACTTGGCCGCCGGCTGATAGCCGGGGCGTCCCGTTGCTCTTGGACACTTTTACGTTATTTTTAATTAACTGGTTAATTATAATTATTAGTTATTTTTTATTTACACTAGTAATTTAAGAAGAATTTCCTTTAGAATATTAGTAACTTTTTGAGTTATTTTTTTCCGTTTTAACCATGTAAAAATGAAAAATAAATATTTATATTTGACGTGTTAGGTGAATAAAGCATAGGAAGAGATTATACGCGTGTGTATCGAATGACGTTCGGAACGCGAATGATAAAGTATAGTATGCATTGTTTTTATGTTATTATGTTATGTACTATTTAAACAATTTGGGTACTGTATATTTATATACATACACGTCATATATTTTTTTACCTAATTCACTACATATACCGCAATTTTTTTTAAAAAAATTTTTAAAGGTTTTTGTTCATTTTAAAATGTTAAATAATTTCAACCCCCCCCCCCCCCCCCCCCCCCCGGCCACAAAAATTATTGTATTAGGTGTAAAGTGCCTTTTTTGGTTCATTAACGCACAGCCCTGGTCATAGCTGGGCTGCCACTGTGGATGAAGTCTAGTCACGCCTATGTTTAATGGTGTTATTATTTTAGATTTGTTGTTCTGTTAAATATGTTAAGTTAAACTGTATACAATCAATGGTCTATGCTGCCGAGGATCTTAATAAAAATAAAAAAATCCCGATTTGATGTACAGTTATTAATTTCATTTGATTTGAATAGGAACGTTGCACAACAATTACTTATTTCTTCAGAAGAAATATAAACGTAAAAACTGTATTTTTGCACAGGATTTTCTCGTAAGTATTGTTGCTGGTATTTCGTAGAAACGTCAGATCAGCTTTTCTCCCGCGTTGAACCAAAAAATTATTTTCCACCCCCATAAATGTACCCATACTGATTGCAACGGTTTATTGTTCGTTTGCGAAATGTCAATAAATATATACCAGTGGTTTTTTTCTTATCGTCTGTTCGACGTGTGCGCTTACGCGTACAAATCGATCGACGCAATATCGTGTGGGGTGCATCATAAAACCACTGCCGACCACCCCGTCCCCTTTCCACCACCACAGCGTTGAAAATAAATAAATAAATAAAAAATAAAATAGAAATCAAAACAAACAAACGAACAATCAAATCGTGATCAACGTGTACAGTTTATTGCTAACGATCGTGCGCGCGGCTGTAACAATTGTTGTCGGTTAACAAACGCTGATGCCGCCGAGGAATCCTTTGACCGTGGACTGGACGCCTTCGAACATGTTGTCCATAAACGAACGAGGCCGCGCCAAGTGCTCGCGGAACGTAACCAGGTACGGCTTGAGCTGCGTCTCCGTGTCCGACCACAACTCGTTGAGCAGCCGCGCGTAATCGGCGTTAGCCGAACCACCGTACGTAGCGTACGCGTCCCGCATGCGACTGACTATGGACACGTTCAGCTCGCACAGGAAATCGTCTAGCGCGAACCTTGCGTCCCACAGGTCTTCCAGCAGGGACCGCTGCTCTATGCAGCGCGGAGAGCTCGCGTCACTGCCGCAGTCCGACTCCTCCAGCTCGACTCTGACCGTTTCGTATTCCTTGTATACCGTCCGGCGCACTTCGGTCAACATGAACTCCGGATCGTGGCCCGCGTACTCCACCTCGCAGTCGCAGTACAAGCGCGCGCTGACCACCTGCAAAAACAAACCGTCGCGATGAGAAATGTGTACAAGACACATTTTCATCAAAAGTGTACCTTTTTCCTTTCCACCAAATTATATTTTGACTAACCTAAATCCATTTCCAACAAAACAATTTATAATACAAAACTAACTAGTTAAACATACTTAGCAAAATATTATGTGTGTTAGGTATTGATATGGTCTTTAACAAGGCTTTGCACCCGAATAATTTTTTCGGGTTTCGGGTTTCGGGTATTGAATATATTCGGGTGTTCAAACACCACAATACAACATTTAAACAAACGTTTGGGTGTTAATAACCGTTGTTATTATTCGTGTTAATATTGGTTAATACGGGTGTTAAGTAGTCAAGGAAAAATATTATTTTTCATTGGTGGAGGGTGGTGGGGAGGCTGAGCCCCTCTCCACTAATGAAATATTTATTTTTTTTGTTACTTGCCTATGTAATAAAATATCAATTTCTTATAAAACTGTGCATCAGTTTTTTAGACCAAACTATCATTATTTTAATTTCAAGCAATGGTGCAACTATGATTTATTTTTGGGAAAGAGGGGGTTATTTTACATGTGTATGAAACTTATAAATTATAATATCCATTAAAATTAAAAATACAAACACTATGTTCTACTCCTAGTTAGTGCGGACACATCGTCTTTGACAAAAAACAAACTATTTTGTATTCTGCGTTTGTGTTTGTGGCATAGGTAGAAATCGGGGAGGGGCTTGAGAGAACTAAGTCCCCAGAAATATAAAGTACAGGTCTTAGCCCTCCTAGCCCTAAAAATTGTTACGTGACTAAAATACAATAATTAATATAATTGTAAAATGCATTTTTAATAACTGAATTAAAAAAAAATATTCTATGATAAAAATTAAATCAAATTCGTAAGATTTTACAAATTTCTTGTCATGACTTAGAACGATCGCAATTAATGTAATATTAATAATATGTAATAATACCCGTATAGGTTGTTTATTTTAATTAATTAATAATTTCTGTTTAGAATACCTACTCCAAAAATATTTAAGATAAGGCACCTAATTGTTTTTTTTTTGTTTAAATTGTTGATTAAAAATGTCAAATTGTCAAACTTCGTAAATTGCCTTGTTGAAATAAATAATTGCCATAGGTGTAATAAGCAAATAATCCTCAGCCTCCCACAAATTTCACCAAATTTCCTCTTATGGTTTGTGGTGCGTGCACACATTAAAAACGCACTACCTAAAACATAGCGTAATACAAAAATAATAATAATTTATACTTATGAATGTTACAATGAAATTATTACACCAACAAAAATTGACAATTCACGCCATAAACATGTATACTACTCGCCATACATTGAACAAATACGAATAATGCGAACAATAATTTAGGTAATCGTACGCAAAACATCAATTATATTTCAGACTTACAAGTATTGCAATAAATAACGACTCGGTGATTTGTAGAAGACCTAATAAATAACCTAAATAAATAATAACCTATTAAATTATTATAATACGACGTATCCGCTTGGGATAATTTTAAAAATAGTATCCTAGTTATTTACACTTGAAAATTCAACATACCATACCATTCATGCGCACTTGTCAATATGATATTTTGCTATTGTCTTTATTTAGATACATTTAGATTAATTAACAATTTTGTATATTATTTGTGAAATTATACCTGTGAATAATAATTTTACTATTAAAAAACTAATGACAAAATTGAAATAACCACAACAAATACTTACAAAATTATATGTCACATAAAGATTGTAAAATAAAAAATTATTCGGGTTTTGGTTAATTCGGGTGTTTAAAAAAAAACCATTTGGGTTATATGGGTTTTGGGTTTTTGATTTTTTAAGGGTTTTTAGAGGTGTTACGGGTTCGGGTTGATTCGGATACAAAGCCCTGGTCTTTAATGAAGTCTGTAATGAAATTAATTTTGTTGACTTGTTTTAATTTTAAAATTGAATACGATGCTATCATGTAATAACTCCACACCAGTACCGAAAAAGTAAAACATTATCATGTATAGAATCGATATAAGATATATATGACACATGTACAAAAAAATCTAATATATTCATCGTTTCACTCGGAATTTAAAATATAGATTATATGTATAAATCAATCGTATCAAATAAACTATAGTAAACTTAATAAACGTTATTTACGTAATAATTAAAAAAAAGTGAATATTTATAATTACTTGCAGTACGGCAAATGCGAAAAATGTAGTAGTTACAATTTTGAAAATCATTTTTGGATAAGAAATTTCTGAATTGGAACCTGAAAATAAATTTTAAAATAGTTGTTATATTTGTAGAAAAATATGCTTTATATAGGTACAATTTCAGTCAATGTTTGCACTCATCAACTTCAATATTTTAGAAATAATAGTGCACAAAACAATGAAACATAATCATTAACAATTAGCAAATATTTATTGTTGAAAGTATTTGTTTGAAATTACAGTTTGTTATGTATATTTGTTTTTTAATCAATCAATAAATACTCATTACCAGAGTACGAATTATTATACTTGTATGTATTTAAACAGTTATAGACACATTAAATGGCGTGGCGAACTCAATAATTTTCAGAGGCAAGTACATTTTGTCAACACCCATCAACAAGGCCGTATCTGGGGGGGGGGGGTCCAGACACACTGGACCAAACCTAAATTTTTTCAATATTTTACGAATGTTTAAAATTCTTATTTATTTTTAATAACAACATAATTATTATCAGTCAAAAATGACTTAAGCTCCAATTAATCATTGATTGCTTTAAATTTTATAAATGTATGAAAGAAAATTCCACTATTTTCGATAAATTACGATTTCAGAGAGAATTTAGATTGCGACTAATTCGATGACGTCATATATGAAATTTTTTTTTATCCATCACATATTCACAAATGTTACCTCGTTAGATGCGCTGTGAACGTAGATATGAAAGAAAATTCCTCAATTGATGATAAATAACAATTTTCTTTCATGGATTAAAAAACATTTCATAAATGACGTCATCTCTTTAAAATCGTTATTTATCAACAATAGTGGAATTTTCTTTCATATCTACGTTCGTACGTTTAGAGAGCATCGAATGATGTAGTATT